CCTTACTCTCACGTGGCTCACCCTCTGTGCACCCAGTAAAAGCCAGCTACACAGCTCCCAGTCTGTTCTCTGAGGCAGTGAACCCTTAACTGACTCAGCGTTTTTGAAAATGAAGTTCCGTCTCATCAGACATTCTTCCCACTCATTCTCTGCAGGCAGCAAAATACAGAGATGAATCACCCAGACTCCAGAGAAGCCTCCTGAGTTACAAATTCTGCCTCTACAAATTGCTAGGTGTGTTACATTAGTTACACCTTTCTATACCTTGCATTCCTTTTCTATAAGATGGAAGTGGTAATAATAGTATCAGTACAGTGACAACTGTCCTCATTGCCCAGGACTAACTGGTTCCCTAGACGGCAGAATGCATCTGACCTTGAAATATCCATATACCCTAAGACTGCTCACACCCAAACTGCTACTCAAGAGTCTACCTTACTGAAATCATGTCACTTTGTGTCTTTATTTGAAGAGCTAAAGTTATATTAATACAATACCAATTATCTCATTTTGTAATTTTTGTACTGTTTGAAATGATATTTCTTTTTTCATGTGGAGCTGGGGCTCAGAGCTAGGGTGTCCTGAATGCCAGGCAAGTGCTTTGGCACTGAGCTACAGCCACTGTCCCTTGTGATAATTTTATTTGTTTATGTCTTTACCACTAAAGATTGTGCTCTTTCAGGACATGTAACATGTCTATTTGTTCACTGTGCGTATTAGCAATTGGCTCAATGTAGGCACATTAAATTCTGAATAAATATTTTGAATACATAAAATAATAGCATAATACAATATCTATGCAATGTTAGGCTTATCAAATAATACTGTACAGGCAATGTATAAACAAGCAAAAAGCCTATGGACAGAAAAAAGGATGGAAGAAAATATAAAAATGTAACCAATAATTGTTTTACTTATAGGTCTTACCATGACATTTTTCAACATTTGCCTGTTTCCCAGATTTCCTTTATTAAGCTTTACATACGATAGAAAATGTGTAATAAAAGGAACTGAGGAGAAGTTCACTGGTCTCTGAAGACTTTCCCGAGAAAGAATTCTTATCCAAGCTCATTTAATCTCTTAAGGTCTGATGACTCTCAGACCCTTCAGATACATAAGCACCATGTAAAAGCTGAAGGCCTGCCTGATTTTTTTTTTTTTTTTTTTGAGGCAGGGTGTCACTATGTAGTTCAGACTGGCCTTGAACTCACTTTGTAGCCCAGGCTGGGCTCACACTTGAGCGATCTTTCTGCCTCAGCCTCCAAGCACTGGGATTACACTCTGGGCCAACATATCTGGCTGTGACTTTCAATATAGGATCTCGCTTCTTAACAGAGGCCAGAGAAAAAGAGGTAGAGTAGATTCTGAAAAATAAGACAGAGCTCCTTACTATGTATCAATCTGTCAAAAAACAATCTTTATTGGGCTAGAGTTTGGAAAGAAATGTTACTATGTTTTATCCACAACTGCACAGATCAGTGATAATTACTGGGATGGAGTCATCTACTTGAAAAGAAGTGACAAGGATTCAGCTAAAGGCCAAGCCCTAAAAAACTGCACTTCTCCGGCCATTTGGGTCAACATGAATTCTCTGCATATGCATTTAGCTTCTGTCCTGTCTGTGACTGTAATGCTGAATAAAGGTCTATGTGGATTTCAAAAACATAGTTTTGACTCTTGGGAGCTAAATAAATGTCTGTTTTGTTTTGCTTTGTTTGCAGTACCAGGGATCAAACTCAGGACCTTGCACTTGCCAGGCAGGGGCTTATTCCACTGAACTATATGCCCAACCCTATGAAATGTTTTTATATGCTTATAATTCTTTACAAGGCCTGTACTAGCCCTGAGTGTGATAATGCACACTTATAATTCCAACTACAGAGGAAGATGAGGCAGGGGAATGGAAAGTCAAGCCCAGCAATTTATCAAGTCTGTCTCAAAATAAAAAATAAAAAGGGCTCGTGTGTGCAGCTTTGCTGTGGTTGACATCTAGCTTTCCCCCAAGGCTCCATGTGATGATAGGTGGGGCTTTGGGCAGGTGACTGGAGCATGGGCGAGCTACACTCAAACATACTTATCAGTGGATTAGTACTGTATTTACTCATTTAATTCTTAGCTTAAAGACAATGAAAGATGCAAAGATCCCACAGAAGCAAATATTCTGGACAATGTGGACAATGTCTGGCTTTCCACAGAAGATACCTACCAACCTTTTGATCCAGTTAACAGTTGTAGTTGAAAGACCTTTCATAATGTTTTCTCTACACAGCTGCCTGACTGGCCCAGGTACTCTCCTTAACTCTCATTACAATTTCATGAGGTAGGTTCTATTATTTCCATTTTATAGGTAAGAAAACTAAAATATAAGAAAAGGAAAATAACTTACCCAAGGTTCAGAGTAATAGGAGGTAGAGGCAGGGAGTAAAGCCAAGATCTGAATTCAGGCTGTGCTGTATGGATACACATGCAAAAGGAAAAGAATTAGAAGGCCTTGACCAAGTTAGATTACAAAAGATACAAAACAGGGAAGATGTAAAGACAATTCCAAAGTGTTTCCACTGATGGCAATAAGGGAAATGTACAAATAAACAGAGCAGGAAGAAGAGCTGGGTTGATTTTTTTTTCAGACGTATGGACTTTAAGTAATGACAAGGTTCCCAAGTGGAAAAGACCAGTTGGGTAGGAATTCAAGACTGGTGTTAAAAAAAAAAAAAAAAAAAAAAAAGGACTGGTAATGTGAGCTAATTTTTGTTTATTTATTTACTTAGTGCTGGGAACTTATGCATGCTAGGCAAGTTGCTCTAGCACTGAGCTACAACCTTAGCCCTGATTTTAATGGAGCAGGTTTAAATTGTGGTATTGGAAACAGCAGCACATGTCTGTGAGTGCTGGGTGACAGAAGTCCAGAAGGAAGAGAGGACACCTGCAGGAGGGACTAGGGTGCTGTCGCTGGGATAGTCTCAGGGAGTAAAACCAAAGTGAAGTGAATTGGTTAGGGTTCTTAGAGCTAGAGAACAAGGTGTGGTCCTTTGGGCTTAAGCTGGCGTCTGTGAATACAGCTGGCATCTAGGTACAAGCTGCTCTTGGCTGGTCTAGGTCACTAGGTCAGGGGTGGCTGTTAAGCAGCCGAGTTAAACATTAAGGGCCTGAAGAACAATGTGCTGTGCCAGTTAGGTCAAGAAAGACTTAGATGTACAATCATTTATTAGGTCTCAAACCTAAAGCAACCCCACAGATCACAATGACATCTTAAGGTTATACACCGCGCACATTCCTTCTGCAACTTGGCCACCTGTCTGGCTCCAGAGCAGGGCACACAGCACTGTGGCTGCCATAGCTTACAGCCTAATGACATGAGAACACCTGGTGTAAATAAAGGACTTATTTTCCTAAATGTCTTACACAATGAAAGCCCCTGGGAACATTGACCATCTAAAAGAGAACAAGAAAACATGTCACACTTCCAAAGTTACTTTTAAGTGAAATACGGTTAAACATCATACTCTAGTTTCCTGAACCCTAGGAGTAACTTTTGTGTGCTTACAAAATATTCAAACTCACACTTGGGGCAGATGCCTTTGTGGCACTGCCCGCTTCTTGCTATCTACTTCGTAAGAAATTCTACCCATACTTCTGCACGGCCTATGTGTCTTGACTGAACTCTTTCATCAAAGGACCAAAGACCAAGGAAGCGAGGGTCTGATTCCTCCATGCATTAGGACCCGAACAACTAGACCCAACTGAGGATGGATCAAAAGAGGGCCAGATACCATGTAAACAATATTTAAAAGCTATACATCAAGATACTAAACTGTCAAAATACACTTTATCCTACCTTGATAAATACATCTTCACAAGGACCTGGAAGGTCAGTTTGATGAGAATTTTCAGCCTCCTTGGAATTACCCTACACCTTGGAGGCCCAGAAGAACTTCTCTTACCTCTGCAAACGCTTGGGACACGTATAGACATTTTGAACGGTGTTTTTTTTTTTTTTCCCCTTTTCCGACCAAGCTCAATATATAGTTCGGGATAGCCTCAAACTTGCAGCGACCCTCTAGCCTCTGCCTCCGAAGGGGTGTGCCACCATGCCTGGTTTGAACATTTGAATCTTACTTGACTTTTAATGTGAATGGAGGTGCGTCAGCATCTATCTTGTTCAAGGGACTGGTACTGGCGGTAAAAAAACAAAACAAAACAAAGTAGCGACTCTGCCCTCGGGACACCTGTTTAGAGTGTGGCGCTAGAGACAGCCAGCAAATGGTTGTCGCCACACCTGGGCATTCGCGCAGCGGACGCTTGGCGACGCGCTGGCCGGGCCGTCTCGCCGCCGCCAAGGCGCAGGGGCGCCGCGGCTGAGCAACAGGACGAGGCGCCGCTTCCTGCGGGCGCCCTGCGCTCTCTCGCGGAGGAACTGGGGGAAGGGGACTCCGCGCAAGGCTGGCTGGACGCGAGGGCCACAGCGACCCCTGGCTTGGCTCCGAGCGGGGCGTCCACGGGCGGCGGGGCGGGGCGCGCGCGGGCGGCGCGGGGTCGGAGGTC